TTATTAAATAAAATAAGGTGTTTGCTTTAGATAGCAGAATAGAAATGAAAACATTAACATGGCGATTTTAATAATATTAAATATAAATTATAAATAATAGCTCATTACAAAGAGGATGAAATGCTGAACACTACCCTTGCTTACAGTATACATGTCCGTTTTTCAGTTTCTGAGATATTTTAATCAATATCTTAAAAAAAAGTCGTTGTAATTAGGTTTTCGCCTCTCCATCACGGCGTCGCGTTAAAAGATAAAATTTCAATTAATAGGTCATTACAAAGAGAATGAAATGATGAACATTTCCCTCGCTTATAATATGGTGGTCCGATTTTCAGTTTCTGAGATATTTTAATCCATATGTAAAAATACTTCAATTAATCGACCCCAGTCGACTTTTCCTTAGCGTTACACATCGGAATCTGACGGCTAAATCTAACTCACTCCCCACAAAAAATGCAAAACGCTCTTAAAATAATTTGCGTTTCAAAACAAGTTATGGAACATTAGCTTCCTGAACATATGTACATCTTCATATGCGCCCAATAAAGTTGATGAGAAAACTATGCTGATATACTTTGCAGTCATTTTATATCGTCGAATGAGATCCCAAATTGTTCGATTGAAAAAAAATGGAATTCATAATGATCAGGTGAGATTTTTCAACCTGTTTTAACCGATTGTTTATGTATTTAATACTTTATGAGGAAGTGCTGTTTCAAGAACAACAGTAGTGCAGGGGAGTGATCGGGCCGAGATCACGCTAAACCTTAAAGTTTTCTCATTTAATTAGAAGTACCCACTTCATAGTGAAGTGCCACATGAGAGTTTAATGATCCATGGTCGATTCACGGTTGGTTTAACAAAATAATTAATTACCTACCGTCAGCCGAACTCAAATCTGGTAACCTTAAGCATTGTAAGTCAGTGTCTTACTCACTGAGTTACTCCCGCTCCCTAATGTATTATTATTGTTTTTGTTTTTTTTTAACCTTAATATACTGAAGATATATAATGAGCTGGCAGACTAAGTGAGTAAATGTACTTGAAAAGCCTGACTTATTTAGTTAAGACTGAACAAACAGTTAGTAGCAGGATTTATTGTGTTACTCATTATCAATTAGTTAATGTTTTCCTTTAACTAGCACTAATCATTATATTTTTTTTATTTCTTAGTGATATTTACAACTGTATTAAAGAAATACACCTAGTAAATTTGTAGAAATGGATATAATGACGTGAAAACACTTGTTGAGAAACTACCCGATGGTAGCACTCTAATGATATGACTATATTAGGAGATCACGGGGCCATCCTCTTTTTAGACGCCTCGGAGGGTTATCAGGAATTTAAGAGGAAGCAAGGTTAGAAACGAGAGGGTTGGGATGATTCTGAAGTTTATTATGGATGGATAGGTATCTGGATTGGGCCAGATCTGAAACAAAAGAAAAATTAAGAGAATTTTACGAAGGATTTTGGATTGTAAGAATTGGATACGAGAGAAATTCGATGGTTTAGTAAAGCCCCATTATTATTTTGATTTTATAATACTACAAAAATAGATTAAGACCGAAAACCATATTGTCAAATTATTTCACTATTCAATTGAATAAATTTTGAATATAAAAAGCACTATTAATTTAATCTTGTTTCATTACTATGCCGCGAGGTGAATCTTAAAAGTTTATATCGAAATACACGAATTCTAATTTAAAATACTTTTTTTTTTCTATAGTTCATATCTTATTCTGCTACCTTATTTTGCTTTTGATCTATCACAACTGCGGCAAATAAATTTTTAAAAATTATAATTTTACTAAAACTATAAATTTACTAGCAGGTTACTCTCTGTCTATGGCCCCAACCAACTCCCATTTTACAAATTATAATAGGGTATAAAAAAAAAATGACCGTTTTATCAAATTCAAGATTTTAAAAGACTGTAAATATTTTAATCCTATTTAATACCTAACAATTCCTTTAGAGTTTAGAGTTTTCTCTAAGCTTGTTTAATCCTTCGACTTCTTCAAAAAAAGCTTTAGTTATTTGTTTGAAAAAAGAAACATTACAGAGTCCTACGAAATTCTCGTAATTTTAAGGCATTACTGGAAAACAAATTTCACAACCAATAAAGCAACTCGTGAAATTATTTAAAAAACTTCTGCCTCATCCACCATATAGTCCAGACCTCGCACCATCGGATTACTACTTATTTAGATCCATCGTTCATTTTCCTCAAAGAAAAAAAAATTGATAATTTTGTGGAAGTTGATATTGCGGTCCAAGAGTTCTTTGACAGCCGTCCCAAAGAATGGTATCAGCGTAGGATCGAGCAATTGGCTAGCAGATAGCTAATGACGGTAGATAACAATGGAACTTTCAGTATTAATTGTATTTTATATCAAAGAAATAATGATACAAATATTTAGTTGAAAAAGATATATTTTTTTTTTTGTTGTACATCCTATTAGAACTGTCTATTTAATTATATAATTACTCGTTGCTCAAATTGTATAAATGTAATTTACATGTATCTGTAGTTCAGGTTGTATTTTTTTTTTTTTTATCAACATAAAATAAATTAAATGGAACCACAATTTTGACAAATTTTAATTTTTTTTTAAATCCATAAAATATATCGCGCCTTCTTGTCAATTTGTAACAAGATTCTGTAACACGGACTAAAAGTTGTATTTTCAGACAAAGTTTTTCTAAAATTTAAAATGGTTATTTTAACTGTTGTAAGTCTTCTGTTAAATGAAACGGTAGATCAGCTCCTGGTCGACTTGAGGAGGAAGTAATAAATTAATTGATGTTTTCAATTTTACACTTATTCTCGAAACAAGATGATAGTTGAAAGTGTTGTTGTGCGTGCCTCACTATCTAATAAAATAAGAAGAAACTGCTTATTCGATAACAAATTAGCTGAGATGGCTCTCGACCCAAAATGTGCTGATGCCGTCCCGAAAGCAAGACCCAGAGCCATAAAAACCACTTTTATTACTTATTTTATTCGGCCACAGCTCTGGAAAAAAAAAAAACTCCAGCCATGTCTCGTAAATATTCTTAGCTATACTGCACTCCAAAAAAATAGACTGCTGCACTTTATGGATGGTAATCAGAGTTGGATAGTGGTGCATTCTATATCTGATTTAGAACTCCTAAAACACGTTTGTGAAGATTCCGAGGATACCTAATAATTATATACATATACAAAAAAAAAAAAAAAAACTCACTACAGACCATTTAGTCTTGTGTTCAGTACTATTCGGAGAAAGTACTATTTCTTGGTCAACGGTTGTGCAAGGAGGTGATTTGACCAAGATCACGCTCAACCACCAGGTTTTGCCCTTAATTAAATATTTAATTAAGATTACTAACTTTATAGAGGCTGGATGTGCCCCAGGAGGGTCTCCCGACGCAAAGGTCGATCCACGGCTGATGAAACAGAATAAATACTGAGTAATTTATATTATATAAATACTAAATAATTTATCGCACTGAGCTATCCCATTCCCCGCACTATATAATTCGGGGAGTGAGATATTTATATATTTATTTGTATATTTATAGTCCGTGGTGCAAACCTGTTTTTATCGAATTATTAACACTCTTCTATAATTTCGTAAATGACTATTTTAATGTAACATATTATTATACTACACTATATTATATATAATTATGTATATACAAACTATATTATAATCTAATGACACTATATTCATACTCTATTTATTTATTATAAATAAAAATAAATAAACAGCAAAATAATAGTACTAAAAGAAACTATACTAAACAAACAGAAAAAGAAATTATATAAATCAAAATAACTACTTAAATATTCACAAGCTTTTATAGAATATTTACAAAATTCATTCACTCAAGATCTCCGAGCCAAGCCTTTCTCCCCACACTCGTGGAAGGAAAGGCAGGACTCCAGGAGATCCCAGCGTCTCTCACTCAGCCGTATTACTGGTGCTAAGGACCAGTGGAACTCAGGCCTCTAATGATAAAAAATTTCTCCGCCTACAGAATAGACCCAAAACGGTAATTATAGTCTGTGGTACACATCTCTTTTTTTTCGAATTTTTAATATCCGCCTGAAACTTCGGAAAAACTTCCGTCTCATCATAACCTACAAATATTTTAGAAGAAAAATAAATGATTATATTTTATTTTAGTTATAAATAATTATATAAAAATAAATATAATTATTTATTTTCACAATATTTTTTATTAATCACCCCAACAATTTTTGTCTTAAATTATTCATTAGTCAACCATCAATCCACAATTAAAACTATTTTATTTACGAAAACTCTTGGAATTGGAGCCTTTTCAATCTGGAGGTCGGCAAAATTTGTCCGTAATTTGATCACAAAATCGATAAAAAAAGATGGCCTACAAAAATATTGGGCTGTTTTTTCTATGTAACCTCGTTATTTTGACAAGTTGTGGGTGTAGGTCACGCCAAACGACTCAATATTTTTGAATTTCACCTTTTTTCTCGAATTTGTGCTCAAATTATCTTACGATTCAGTTGAAAAGCTTATGAGTATTTACGAGTTTTTAGTTCCTAATTAAATAGACAAAGTTTGCCTCTCCCTCCAGATTGAAAAAGCCCCAATTCCAAGAGTTTTCATAAATAAAATAGTTGTAGTTTACGATGAAATGAAACTATTTACGAAGTTTCAAATCATATAATTCGATAAAAAGGGGTGGAGCTGTACAATGGACTAATAAAGTAATATTTTTTTTTTTTGTTTTGTATTTTATTTATATATACAAATCATTACATATTCGAGTGTAAAGTGTAGTGGAAAACAAAAAAACACATTTATCACGTAAATCACAGCGGTTTGTCGCAGTTGTTTCTGTCAGCCGAAAAATGTATTCGGGGTGACTCTCGTATGATATTTTTTTGCGATTTTTATTTATTATTTTGTTTTTGTTTTTTTTATCGTTGGTGCCGAGAGCGGGAGGAAACAAAGGGGCTAGAGCGGTTATTGCCGCAAAAAATCGCCACTCGGGGCTAACAAGGCTTTGTCCTCCTGATCGATGCCGCCCCAGGACGAGCGTCCCGACGTGGTGGAAGTCGAGGACCCATTACCATTAGCATCCTCCTCCCTGGTTATGTTCAACTTTACAGGGTCGGCGGGTGTAGTCTTCTTTATGGCCAACTCGTGAAAACTGCCCGAGAGAGTTCCCAACAGTAATAACTCCAACTGTTCCGGAGAAGTGGAGCGGGGGGGGGCGGCCTTTATTCTCTGGAAAATTAACTCCCTGTCTGCACTTTTATTATCATATTTGTTCTCATAATGTTTCTTGGGATTGTTACAAATGTTTTAATATCGATTAGCTACAGTTTTCCCGGGATTCGCCCCAATTATACGCTAAATAGTTACATACATTGAAATCTTTATTTCATCTAAATTTTACATTTTCTTTTTTTAAAACATAACACTTTTTTTTATTGGCATAGTATAGAACCGTCTGCCTGGAGTTGTCCTAAAAATAAGAAATAAGTAATTTTGTTGCATAATCTTAATCTTATATTTGATTTTGTTTGCATATAATTAAAGAATATCATGTTTTGTATTTATGAATTAGAAAAATTCTATATTTATAAGCAGATTATAAGCAGACTCATTCGGTTTATGATTTTTTTTTACTTTCCTACGTTTATTAGGTAAGGAAAGTATTGCGATCAGGTCAAATTTCCGATATGCGGATTTCGACGGATCTATACGTTTCAGAGCTCCCTGAGTTCGAAAAACACATTTTTAGCCATTGGTCTGTCTATCTGTGCCAAGGTTTTCTCGGGAACTACTAAACCGATTTATTTTTTATTTTGTAGGGTTTTGACAACTGTTGCCTGTAACACAAATTGGATGCTCCATGCGCAATAGCTGCTGAGCAATAAATGAAAAACATATTTTTCTTTTATGAACATTTAATAGTTGACCGTTGTATTATAAACGAAAGAAATCGTCCGGGGTGGCGGTCATAAATAGGCTAAATAGCGGTAAAACTATTTTATTAAAAGCCAACGTCTCGTCCCAACTTTGCAGTTTTTCTTCAGGGCTAAAACGGACAAGATACAAAAAGGTAGAGAATTGTGGCAGTTACATAATATTTAGACAAAAATTATAAATAATGTGAATAAGCTTATTGAAATTATAAAAGGTAAGTACATTAAAATATGAACAGAGTAAGCTAAGTGACAAGATTCTAAACTGAAGTAAATAGATGCTAACAATTGTTGTAGTGTAATATATAATAAATGCAAATGTGAATATACTTCTACAGATCTACAGGAGAGATTGAAAGAAAAGGAAAAAGGATATAATATGAAATAATAGACATAAAGGAATTTGGAGAACGAAAAGAAAAAGAATACCAAGAATTAAATAAATAAGTAAATAAAATTGAAGAAATAAAATTAGATACTTACAGGTGTGTTCAGCTAGGAGTTTCACTTAGAACTGGAAAACCAGGGTAAGAGCAGGTATAGGGGAAGCTGACTTGTTTGGGTAATCGAGAAAAACCTAGGAAATACAGTATCTAAAATTTGAAGATATGGATGGATACAATGGGAAAATACTATATCTATGAAACCGTTCTAGCCCTGAAGAAGACCTGCAAAGTCGGGTCGAAACGTCGGCTTTCAATAAAATAGTTGTACCACTATTTAGCCTATTTATGACCGCCACCCCGATCCATCTCTCTCCTTCCTTTATTTTCCTATAGCGAAAACATACTATTTAGAGAAAAATATGACTAAATGAAAGTAAGAAAATCTGTATCACACAGGCTTCACTATTTCCTCTACTTTTAACAGAGATTATTGTTTGACAAAATTAGTCTATAGCAAAAAGTTTTTGGTCAGCAATATTAGAGGGTATTGAAATTTTTACAAGGATCTACCTTAAGCCGGTTTACATGGTTTTAGTTTATCAAATAAATCTTACTGAAATCTTTTCTTTGATCAATTTTCAGGAAGATAAATCTAATTCATTTTTTTTTTTTTTTTTTTGTTCTTTATGAACTTTTGTAAAGATATAAAAACTTTTCTGAAATAGGTAGAAAAGTCGTTTGAGTGGACACACCAAATTTTTTCTTATAATACTTGATTCTGAATTTCTGTCCTAGTGGACAAACACTTAATAATTATATAATAATATAAAATATAATTATATAATATTTCTTACATTTTTTTTTTCTTTTTGTCAGTACGCCATACTTTGATTAATTTTTATTAAATTTAATCACTATCCATAATTTTGAAGATTATCTTTTTGCTTCAGTTAAAATAGGTACAGGAAATTCACTAATTTGAATTTCATAAATATCTCAGTTTTTATCATTAACCTTTGCATTTATTCTATCCCCGTACGTACGTTAGCACTCTCCCCTTCAAAATAAAAAATACATCCTGGAGTACTAGTATTACTTTTAAACTAGAACCTGACCATGAGGTGGGGGGGGGCGTATAGAAACTGTATGAATGACCTATTTTCGGGAAGAAAGGGCGCCAATATTTAACTCCCTGGTGATCTATGGAGGCTCCTTGTAAAGATCGCTCGATACGGCAATATTTACCACCCTCCTTTCCTCCCTGCATCGTAAAACTGCTTTTGAAACCCAACGGCTTGTCATCAATATATATTTATATAAAATAAAAATTTTATTTATGATATCTCAGCAAAGTCGAAAGTCTTTGAGAGTCATAAAATGTATCCATACATACCAAAATAAACTAAATTTTAAGTGCTATTCTGTTTTTTGTTGCTTGAATTGCAAGACGAACTAGACTCGTGTATACACAAAGTGTCTCAGTCCATAATTTCCAAACTGTGGGAGATGATTCTAGACAAAATTTCCTATAAAAAAAGTTAATTTGATGAATATCCCTGTTGAACAAATCCGATACCTTGGACTTCACTTGGACAAACATCTAACTTGGAATCCTCATACAAGACTGAAACGACAAGAAACCGCTCGACGTTTCCGACTATTCCAACACTTACTAGACAAACGCTCTAAACTTCCCCTTAATTACAAAAGACTCATATACATGACTATAATAAGACCTTACGGAGTTGAGCTATGGGGCTCCACTAAACCATCGAATTCCTCTCGCATCCAATCTTTACAATCCAAAATCCTTCGTAAAATCCTCAATGCTAAGGAGCATTAAGGAACATAAGTAAGGACTTTGTCACTAATAAAATAATCCATAAAGACCTCAATGTTCCATATGTTTCCGATTTGGCCAAATCCAGATACCTATCCTTCCATAATAAACTTCATAACCATCCCAACCCTCTTGTTTCTAACCTTGCCTCCTCTTCGATTCCTGATAACCCTCCGAGGAGTCTGAAAAGAAGATGGCCTCGTGATCTTCTCATGTAGACAAATTATTAGAGTGCTACCAGTGGGTAGTTTCTCAACAAGCGTGTTTCATGTAATAATATTTCTCTGTACAAATTTACTTGATGTATTTATACTAATACAGTTGTAAATATCATAATAAAAGTAAAAAAAAAAAAAAAATTGATGAATGGGCTGATTAGCAACCGAAAATGAATTAAAACAATTTTATGTTTTTCTGTCACGTTTTTTATTGAATAACAAGGAATCCTTCAAAAATTGTTCAAGATAATTAAATTCTAATTAAACCAACGTAAAGTAAACAATTTTTTTTGGAGAAAAGAGTGATTAAATTTACTGAGGTCAATGATAAAAGGATTTTTAAGGAGATCTAATAACACAAAACCAAACATTATACCGAATCATTTCACATATCGGGATTACAGAGAGATGCTCGTATATGGATGCTGTAACAGAACACAGTACATCGGCCGTATTTGACCTCCTGAAAGTTCCTTTTTATCTTTGTCCGAAAGCTTTTATATATATATATATATATATATATATATATATATATATATATATATATACATATATATATATCACTGTAATTTCGAGAAAAAAAAAAATTGTCTAATTTACGATGGCGTACTTATAATTTAATTATCTTAAACATTTTTTTACCCATTCCTTTTTATTCAGTAAAAAACGAGACCACCTTAAAAAAAAAAATTTCAAGTGACATAAAAATAAACAGAAAAACCGAAAGGACTTATTTGCCAAACCAATATTAAGTCGCTCCCAGATAAAATCAACTTTTACTGTATGAAAATATATTAGAGCGAAATGGTGGCGGATCGATTCCCAAATATGATGATTAATTGTTTGGTAATTAGGGCTCAGCGCTTATCACAAACCACCAAAAAATTCAACCAGAAAAAAATAGGACTAATGATGATAACGACTTTAATATTTTCCATCAATTTATCTTTGCTTGGGTGGAGGGAGAGAGAATTGAGTTTTTATTTTCTTTCCGAATATTTCACAACAAAAAAAAATTTAATCATTTATTTTCTTTTGTACTTTTATTTTACTTAATTAATGATTAAAACAGTAATAATAATAATAATAAAAAAAGGCTTAGCGAACCCGAAGGTTCGATGCCGACACCACCAATCGCTTATTACACACCTCCCTCCACCGTTCGCCGTCCAAACCCAGTCCCTTCAGATCGGCTTTAATGCAATCTTCCCACCTTCGCTTCGGTCTACCCCTCGAACTCTTACCATTTGGCACAGCAAATATTAAGCTTTTAGGAATTCTCTCGTTACTAAGCCCAACAACTTTACAAGCCCATTTGATTCGCCGCGATGAACATGCCTCAATTATATTACCCGGATACAGTTCACGCAATTCGGCATTGAACCTTAAGACGCTGCTCATCTCTTGATGTAAGCGGCCAAGTTTCGTATCCATAAAGAACTGTAGGCAAGATAATTGTTTTATAGATTCTAATTTTTAAGTTTCGGGACAAGAGGCGCGAACTAAGTAGTTTTGTCACAGAAAAATAACAAGCATTCCCCGACTTCAGTCTAACCTTAATCTCTTCTTCAATTTCGTTTTTTCTAGTTATCGTAGAACCTAGATACCTAAATTTATCTACCTGTTCAAACATATTACCATCTATATCGATATCACCAGTAGTATCGCCATTTTTGCAGCTAACCATATATTTTGTTTTATCCACGTTTATTTCGAGTCTTACTTCTTTACCGGCTTTCATTACGTTGTATTTAAAAAAAAAAAAAAAAAAAGGTAAAACAATTTAAAAATTACATCAATTTTTTTTTAAAGCTGCTTCAGAAAGAATTAATACTCTAATTGCGAAGTATTT